AAGTAATCCCGGAATGGATCATTGGAAGGCTGCAAAGAATGTGACAAGGTACTTGAAAGGAACAAAGGAATATATGCTCACATTTAGGAGGTCTGATCATCTAGAGGTTATTGGCTACTCAGATTCGGATTTTGTCGGATGTGTAGATAGTAGAAAGTCCATTTTTGGTTATTTGTTCCTTCTAGCTGGAGGGGCAATCTTATGGAAAAGTGCGAAGCAAACTGTCATAGCTTCATCTACAATGGATTTTGTCGAATTTGTGGCATGCTTTGAGGCTACAATTCATGGATTGTAGTTGCGGAATTTTATCTCAGGACTTGGAATTGTCGACACTATTGCCAAGCCGTTGAGAATTTATTGTGATAACTCCGCAGTAGTGTTTTTCTCCAAGAACGACAAGTATTCTAAAGGTGTCAAACACATGGAATTGAAATACTTTGCCGTCAAGGAAGAAGTTCAAAAGAAATGAGTATCTATAGAGCACATTAGCACAGAACTCATGATTACAGATCAATTAACAAAAGGGTTGTCACCAAAGACATTTAAGGAACATGTTAACAAAATGGGTCTTGAATATAACACATGATATTTACTTGATGTTGGATTATTTGTTACGACACTTTTAATTTTAATGTGTTTAATGATATTTTCTGTTTCCATTATGTATGTACATATGTTAGAATTGGATGAATGACAACAGGAGTAGCTTTGACACAAGGCATTATTGTTGGACCTCATTTATATACACTTCTCACTTATAGATCATGTTAGACAAGTTACTAATGTTGTGGTACATGGAAGGGACTATGTCGTGTTAATGATGTACAACAGTCATGACTCGCATTAGTGATTTGTTTAATTGTGGTATTATGGTGACCAAATTAAGGAGTGACGGATTGGATTTAATGCGCGCGTGTGTTAACCTTACTGGACCCAACTGTAAAATAATCATATGAGCCAAGTGGGAGAATGTAAGACTTAAATGTGGCCTACATGATTTTTGGCACATGTGATATTTACTAATGACTAATTAATAGGTAAATTGGTTGGGTCAAGATAATGATAAGGTTGTCAATCCCAAACTAACCGGGTAACTGATGTTTTCTAGTTGGTCAAAGAGAAGTAGTATTTTCCTAATATTCTACTTTGATAGGAAGTAGAGTTCATGTTGATCTAGAAAATCGGTCCTCTCTCTACCTATAAATGTGCACATGCCCCATTAATTTGTGTATCTTACGTTAAAAAGTTAAGAGAAAGAAACTGTATTTTCAGGCTACCCAAAATATTGTTCTTCTTGTTCAAAAAATCAAAGGTTTGCATCAATGGCGTCAGGTATGTAAATTATGATGTTTTAATTCGACAAAATGAGTATGTGAAAATTATAATTGTTCTAGATCTTAAAATTATGATTTAATTAATTTATTTGATCAAATAAAGTGGGGTCTCATTCTCTTTGGTCGGATTATCAACTTGCCCTAGCAAATGGGTAATCATCCTATACTGTACCGTCTGAAATCTTTCAGAAGACAATGAAGTCTGTTGTTGACTCTCCCTCCCGTTAGGACACTTGAGTTCATTAATTTTAAAAATTAATAAGAACCAGTCTTGAGGTGTATCTCATTCAAACAGACATTAATTTAAGAATAGGTTTTTTTTTTTTTTTGACAAACATAACAAAAGTTTGATCCAAGAGTCAAATGTATGAATTTTTTGTCCCCCCCCCCCCCCCCCTCTCTCTATTTAGGATCATATTCCATTTGATCAAATTGTTTGAAAATCAATGCAACTTTTTTTTTTTTTTTATGTTTAACGGTTAGAGATGTTCGATTCAATTTGATTAATCTTCTCTTTGTTCAGTCGAATATAAGTTATTTACCTTAATATTAAGGTATTCATACAACTCAATTTTAAAAAATTATTAAACTTCGAATTCAAAATAATTGAATTTACAATCCTTCCTTATCGCGGGTATCCTGCCCTGGTTAATCAATGTCAAGTGAACGTCATATGACAGTGGACCTTCTCTATAAATTACAAACTGCAGTACTCTTATCTTCCCTCTGGCCCTTTAAGTTGGGGAAACTTGGGGCCCCTCATCCATATTTAGAAAACGTGACACTGAGGTGGGCCCAGTTTAAATCAATGCATTCGGTATAAAAACGTTTTTGATAAAAATGTATGTTTAAATCAAACTTTCTTGATAAGGGTAGAATAAAAAATAAGTTAGAAATCACAATAAATATATTTTGAGAAAGCTAAAATTATTTTAATTTTGTAAAAAATTCCTTGTATGGGGAGTAAAATGTCCTCTAATATTTTTTGTCATTTTTTTCTTAATTAATTCTTTATAATAAATTCTAGTAAGATTCGTAACAGAACAAATTTATGAGTCAAGCGAATTCAACTAAGACTCGTTATTAGAGCAAATTCAAATAACACTCATTGTACATAATAGTGAAGTATCTACAAAAAGAAGGGCATAAAAAAAATGAAGCAAAGCTATTTGAGCTTAATTGGCATAGTGAAATATCTACAAAAAAAAAAAAACGAGAATGAAAAAATAGAGTAATGTTCTTTAAATCTAATTTATTGACTTAATTAATTATGATTATTAGATTTTTAATATTTATTGAGACTTGTAATTAATGTAATAATTATAATTAATTAGGTTAATAATTTTTTTTAGTTCAACAATCATGAATATTCAAGTTAACTTACGCGTACATCCACTAATCCCTTCTCTGACTCGATAAAAAATTATCTACTCCAGAACTAGAAAATTTATGAAGGATAAATCACTCGTAGCTTGATCTCAAAAGATTTATTAAAATTCGAACTCAAGACATAAATTTGTCTGAATTTACAACTCCCCTTGTATTATCATTTCAATTATTATAGAGAGAATTACACCCAGAACGCTTAAAATATATCACTTAATCACTCAGACATTTGACATTTAAACTATTTTATATAGATCCCTTAAGGTTTTTACCAATATTTATTAGTATATCTATTATTAAATTACATCTAGACCCTCTGAAACCCCTCAAGTTTAAAATGTTATATTTAGATTAAAAATACTCCAATTAAAAATAAAATATCAAATATTTTATATTTTACAATCAAAATTCATATTTTATTATATCATTTATTGAAATAAATAAAAATTCAATTTTTTCTTTAAATATCGTAATTAGTATACAATTATGCTATTTATTTGAATAAAACTAAAAAACTAATCAAGGGGTTTAAATCATTCATAATAGAAGATGAATTTTATAACAAAAATTCATGTTCTATTATGACATTTATTGAAATAAAATCAAAAATAAAAATCTAATTTTTTCTTAAAAAATTATATTTAAGATACAATTATACTATCTATTAGAATAGAACTAAAAAATCAAATAAGAAGTCAAACTGTAATGGATACAATATCTTATAACTTTAATTAAGGTAATTTAGTAGTTTAATTTGATCGTTTAAATGACCAAATTAAATTTCAATAGATAATATAATTGTATATTAATTATTATTTTTTTAAAAAAATAAATTTTTAATTTTGATTTTATTTTAGTAAATCTCATAATATAACATAAATTTTGATTGTAAAATTTAAAATATTTGATATTTTATCTTTTATTGAAATATTTTTTGTCTAAATATAACATTTTAAACTTGAGAGTTGAGAAGTCTAATTATTATATGTCTACAAATTTTAAGAGGTCTAAATATAATTTACTACTTTATATACTAACGAATATTAGCGGCAGAAATTTAAATATTATGCATATACAAACTTCAGAAATTTGTATATGATATTTCAAATAGGGTTAATCTCATTTTACACCCCGAAAGATCGTTCGAATCTCAATTTGCACCCTCAAAGAGCAAAAATCTCAATTTGTACCCTCAAAGATAGAAATTTGTATCAATGTGCACCCCCAAAGATCAAAAATCTCAATTTGCACTCTGAAAAATAAAAATTTGTATCAATGTGCACCCTCAAAGATCAAAAATCTCAATTTGCACCCTCAAAGATAGAAATTTATATCAATGTGCACCCCAAAGATAAAAAATCTCAATTTGCACTCTCAAATATAGAAATTTGTATCATTATGCACTTAAAATTAAATTGATATATTATACCTAGATCTCCTCATATTTGTCACTTAATCATTTGGACATCTTTACATTTAGAATATTACTCCTATATCTCATAACATTTATGCACGTACAACATGTAACTCATTTTCATTGATATCTGTTAATATAACCGTTAAAAAATATAATTTTATCCAAATAAAAAATTATAATTTCATATTACCCTTATTTTATGGGTCCAATATACTCTAAAATTCAAAATCAAGTTTACCATTTGAATGTCTAATAAAATGTAGATATTTATATAATGTTTTTCGTATTTTCCTTTATATAAATATCTACATTCTATTAGACATTCAAATGGTAAGTTTGATTTTGAACTTTAGAGTATATCGAATCCACAAAATAAAGAGTAATATGAAATTATAATTTTTTATTAGGATAAAATCATATTTTTTAACGATTATATTAATAGATATCAACAAAAAGTGGTTATGTTTACACATGTATAAACGTCATGAGATGTAGGGGTAATATTCTAAATGTGAAGGGGTTCAAATGATTAAGTGACAAACACAAGGGGATCTAGGTATAATTTATCAATTTAATTTTAGGTGCACATTGATACAGATTTATATCTTTAAGGGTGCAAATTGAGATTTTTAATCTTTGGGAGTGTACATTTATACAAATTTCTATCTTTGAGGGTGTAAATTGAGATTCGAACGATCTTTTAGGGTACAAAATGAGATTAACTCTTTCAAATATTAGAGAATTTGAGTGATTAAGTGACAAATATCGTTGTGAAGTGCAATTCTCTCTAAAAATTATTAAACGGAGATGTCAATCGGGATTATGGCCGGACCACATGAAGTCCCATGCTAATAGTAAGTAACCCATTCAAACCATAGATAGAACCTTCACCGGTGCAATTTGCAGAGACTTCCATTTTTCCATGACCATGAGGTAGAACCAGCCAGCAGGCGAGGTTGGTCGAAAATGTCTTCTCTTTCCACATCCTCCTCCTCCTCCTACTACTACCTTCTTCGTTTTGGCTTCCTATAGATGACCCTTTAAAGTTCTCCTCGTTTGTCATTTCTTCTCCGATGTTGATCGAGTTCTGACGGAGAAAATCTGATAAATCATGGCTGCCGGAGGAGGAGGAGAGAGCTCTACTCGTTCTCTGCAAGACACCCCAATCTGGGCTTTGGCTACTGTTTGCTTCATTTTCATCTCCCTTGGCATCCTCATCGAACACTTGATACATCTCTTTGGCCATGTAAGATTTTTTTTTTTTTTTTGGGTCATGGCCATGTAAGATTCATCTTCAAACAAACACTGACGTAGTAGTGAATCTGAACCATGAAAATTACACTAGCTATTGTTTTGTTTAATTTAGCATTATGCTAATTACTTACAGTTTGTGTTGGATTTGTCGTTGGTTGATGCAGTGGCTCAAAAAACATCGGAAGACAGGCTTGTTTGAGGCGTTAGAGAAGCTCAAATCAGGTGGGTTTTGAACTTTGAAACAGTTAAATGGATTTCGCATCAACTTCAGGCTATAAAATTCACTTCAAAATCGAATTGCTGATTGGAAGTCACGATTGGTTCTTCGCTTAAGCTGCTTTTAAACATGCCCTGCTGATTGTTATTTCTCTCCCCACGCCATTTTCTTCTTGAAGATCTCTATGTTCTTGGATTTGATTCAATTTGTTAATTTGCTGGTTTTGACAGTTTTGATGCTCCTGGGATTCATGTCTCTGATATTAGCGGTTACTGAAAGGCCTATTGCCAAAATCTGCATTCCCAATAGAGTTGCTAATTCCATTCTTCCATGCCGTAAGGCTTTACTAACCAAAACTACCAAAGCTTATGAGCATGTACGGACCAATACATTTGAACATATGATGTCAAGGAGAGAGAGGGGATTGGCTGCCGCCGATGCTGGTGGCTCTGTTGATCATTGTGGAGCTAAGGTACGTGTTTATTTGATTTCCCACCTCGCTTTTTTCTCTGTGCATCCTATTTGTTTGTATTTGTGCCTGAGAGAGATTTTAATTTGGTGATCGCATGAAGAACATTGTGTTTGTTACACAGGGGATGACTTCTATGATATCAACGGATGTGATCAATCAGCTCAATATTTTCATCTGCGTGTTGGCAATCATGCAGATCGTGTACAGTGTTGCAACAATGGCTTTGGGAAGGGCTAAGGTACCGACTGTTTGCTACTTCAATCTTATGGCAGCAAAAAGAGGCTCACTTTTATTTTGTTGATTAAAAACAGAGCAATGCTAGTTAAGACATAATTTGAGAACATAAGTTGGTAACTTAATGAGTATAGTTATTAGATGAGCAATACTATAGAGACTTTATTTAGAGACCTAATCTAAAAACTTAATGATGTGGTTTTAATGCAACTATGGGATTAGTTGTGAGTTTCAATATTAAATGAAGCTCACAACCAATCCATTGGTTCTCAAGGATTTCTATTAAAAAGCTCAATAGTCAATATCTTCATAAATTCAATTCTCAATATAAGGTGATCAATATTTCCAAGAATCATAAAGTCTGCTCCAATTAAACTGGGAGTTGGGTGGTTGTTATATCATGTGAATTCTCTCTACCTCTCCCGATCCTTAACACTAATGCTATTGGGATATAATTTGAAGACTTAAGGTATTATGATCATTGGATTGAGGAAAGTGCATTTAATATTGGGACCTATTGACAATCTAATAAGGAAAATACTATTTGAACTTAATCTAGGAACCTAATGATGTTCACTTATTTAATCCAATGGTTGCATTGAAGCCACATTATTAGGTCTCCAAATAAAATCCTTATAACATTGCTCTATTTCAAATAGAATTACAATAATCCAAGGAAGACCTCGGCAAAAGGTCTATGGCCTATGGACTAGGTCGGTAGTGTAGCGGATCATGGGCTAGCCCAACCATTCACGTGGTAGACTGTGTGCAGCCTAATAGCACAATTCATAGAGCCATGCCCATGGTTTTAGGTCCACTAAGCTTGATTAAGGTCAGTTCATGTGACCCATGAAGTAGGCCCATGGCTTGCTTAAATTCCAAAAAAAAAAAAATCCAAAAAATAGATCCATCAGGACGACTCGCTAAAAATCACCTATTAGATCATTTTTCAACTCATTCTCTATTTCTTGCCTTTTCGGTATATTAGGTAGCCAAACACAAAAAACACTCTCCAACCCATTCTCTATTTCATTCTCTATTTCCTATTTCACCCAAATGACTCTACAAATGTGGAGAGTCATTTAGCCTCTCTAAATTATCTCTCTTTCTCTTTATATATATATGTGTGTGTGTTGTATTCTTTTTAAATTATTGAAAGCTAATGAAAGTTGGGTGAAGTAGGTTAGCCAAAATAGAGAGTGTGGTTAGAGTGAATTTATAAAAGTGACTAATCAAAGTAGAGAATGTAATATTTAAATATACTTTAATTAACTATTTTGGAGAGCTGAGTTGGAGATACTCTTAGGACTAGCACAATAGGTAGATTGTGGGTTGTGGGTTTCTTGGGATAGGCTATTATAGCTTGTTGACCTATCAACGGGCCAAATATACGACCCCGTGGGCTGTTGGTATCTTGTTGGATCCTTCCCAACCCACCCCCCAAGATTACTTTACTTGAAAAATGAAAATCTCACTCTTTACTCTATATGTGCATCTCCACTCAATTATCTATTTTAGAGAGTTTACCATCAAAAATCTATTTTCAATCAGCTCTCTATTTAGACTTGTTAAAATAGATAGTCCAATTTAGTTCTCTACATTTGAAAAGTCAAACTCACTCTTTACTCTATAATTAATGAATGAAAAGATGACACATATACATATTTTATCAAATGGTTTGACTATAGATACTATTTTAATATTTCCTCCGTTCCTAAATATTTGTCGTTTAAGATTTTTGCATAAGGAGTAAGGAAGCTATTAAATAGCTATAATATAAGTACAAAATAATTACACAAGACTAAAATACTCTTATTCAATATGTATTGGGAATGAAAAGAATATGAAAGACACTTAGCCTCCACTTAATTTACTATATTGAAAAGTTAAGGGTAAATTTGAAAAAAAAAATATTAATTATACTTTAGTTTCATTAAACGACAGATATTGTGGAACAAAAAAAATTGTATAAAACAACAGATATTTAGGAACAGAGGAAGTAATAGAATAGAGACTCCTATTGGAGTTAGCTAAAAATATTTCAATCTTTATTTTAACTTTTCATCAAAGATGTTCTCTATTTTGGGGAAGATACTCTCTAAAATAGTAGAGTACTATTGAAAATGCTCTAATTAATGAATGAAAAATGACACATGCGGAGTTTACATTAAATGTTATTTACTGTAAAGACTATTTTTAATAAAATAGAGAATTATATTGGAATTGTTAAAAAAGTTTCACTCTGTTTTAAATTTTCACCAAATACGCTCTTTGTTTCTAAAAAGACTATTTAAATAGAGAGCACTATTGGATTGGAGAGACTCTTATAACTGACCATAGCAAGGCACCTCAGTTGAGTTGCAAATCAAGCCGTTAAGACTGCTTGCATATATACATATGTGTTCATGTCATTTTTTTGCTTCTGTTCCTTACTGTGTAGATGCGGCGGTGGAAAACATGGGAGAAAGAAACCCAAACAGTCGAGTATTTGGCTTCAAATGGTACAGTACCATCACTTTTCTGTTGGCATCATGGGCATGTTCAATAATAGTTTACCACATGATTTCTGTATGTAACTTACTCTGCATTCAGATCCCCAACGTTTTAGATACACTAAGCAAACAACATTTGGACGGCGACATATTAGCACTTGCACAACAACATCAACTCAGCTCTGGATTGTGAGTTCAATATGAAAAGAGTACTTGAGTGGGTGAGTTATTTACAATTCTGACTCTGTTGTTTACTGATGAATGTTCAAAATGCAACAGCAATGTTTCTTTCGGCAGTTTTTCAATTCGGTTGCCAAAATAGACTACCTGACTTTGCGCCATGGCTTCATATCGGTCGGTATATCTGCACTTTTAGAATTATATATCCTCATTTCCTATACTGTTTGCACCTCTATACAAAACTACTTGCATTCTACTTAAACTACTAGAACTAATCAGGGTTGACAGTAAGTCATGTTGTATTGGTTTCATGTCATGTCAAAAATGGCTCCACCACAACATCAACTATTGCATGTCGGATCTTGTCAGGTTCTAACAAAACCACCATAAATTGTCAAAAATAATCATGTTTGCCTATCTTTTCGAAAAAAAATTGCAGGCTCATCTATCAACAAACAACTCCTTCAATTTTCAGAAGTACATACAGAAATCCTTGGAAGATGACTTCAAAGCAGTAGTTGGCATAAGGTACCAAAAGTTCTAATTCTTGTGTCACAATTAATTGTTTTAGCTGTGTCGTATAGTTGACATATGACTATTGACCACAAGTACCTCCATGTATAGGCAGTTAAATGCACTGAACTAGCAAGAGGTCCGTTTAGCCCCACAATTTTTTCGTTTTCTTCTTCTTTTTGTGATCAGTGAGCCTCAAAAAGTGGCTGGTCGCTTATTAAGCCCAGGGTACTCTTGAGTTTGGGTCAAATTCTTTCAGCTTATTACAATCGCATGATGAGAAAAGAATGTTCAAGAATCAGTCACCACATCAGTCTGTTACAATATACTTCAGTCTGTGCGGTGTTCTGGCTGAATCTTGGTCATTCTTTTCTCATTATGTTGCGTTGCATACCAAAATTTAACCTTTGAATTTGCCTCAAGTTCAGGTAATCCAAATGTCATATACAAATCTTGTTTTCATGATCGTTACCCCAAGTGGTCTACGCTAAAATTCAGCAGGTCACTGACCCGTTACAATGATTACGGACACGGCGAATGAGCCTCCTCTAATCTTTGTCTGTCTTATTGCACCATTGTAAATCCCTCTCTAATAATTTTTTTTTGTTTGATTATTGTGGATAGCCCTTTCATGTGGTTTCTGTTGGTCATCTTCCTACTTGTTGATGTGCATGGTGAGTATTCGTTGCTCAATATTCATTTCTTCCATAACCTTTATCCCTTGTTTTCATGTGTTATTTGTATCAATTGAAACAGGTTGGAACGTATATCTCTGGGTCTCCTTTCTCCCATTGATTGTAAGCAGAGATATTAACTTTTCATATTTTCACTGTGAAATGGTAACTACCATATAAGTGGGTTCCTCACGAATATGCGGCGTGTGATCTACCAAAAAAATTAAGAAAAAACATACTAGAGAGAATCTAGATCCTTGATAACTTATTTTAATGCCTGTTGTGGTGGTTTTGCAGACAGTGCTAGTTATTGGGACCAAACTTGAAGTCATTGTGGCCAAAATGGCTCTACAACTCAAAGAGCAGAACAATGTAATAAAAGGAGCCCCCTTGGTGCATCCAAATGACGATCTTTTCTGGTTTAGTCACCCCCAATTTGTGTTGACTCTTCTACATTTGACACTTTTCATGGTAAGTACCCCTCTTGTAAAAGAAAGAGAACAAAGCTATGATCAATGAATTATAGTTGCACTCCTTCCCTACAATAATAGCTCTTCGATTTTTAGAAGTAAACTGTCATCACTTTTATTCTGATACATGATGAGTAGATGAAACGGGAATGATTAATGTTCATATTTAAAATCAACCTTTGTTGTCATCTGCAGAATGCATTCGAGATTGCATTCTTCGTTTGGGTCTCGGTATGAACTTTACTTTCAATAATTTTTTTTTTATTTTCCAAAAAGTAGTAGCTGCAAACAGAAGTTTATGTTTATGAATTATGTTTAAAATCTGTCTTTCTTTCCTTATTATTTTTTTCAGTTACAATTCGGTATAAAATCATGCTACCATGAACACATAGAGATTGTTGTGACCCGGGTGGTATTGGCGTAAGTCCTGCTGCTGTTCCTTTGCTTTGTGACTTTTCTTTTCTTATGCACGATATAAGAAATAAACAACAAAGCAAAAGATGAAAACAAAACATACTAGATTAAGTGGTTCCGTTCAAAAAACTCTATCTACTGCTGAAACACAGTGATAAACATCAACTGTAAATGATCATGAAGATACAAATAGTTTTCAAAATGAGAGAAAAGCAAAACAGTTAATGCTACTCCCTAACACGATGCTAAAATACACACATACCAACCCAAAAAATCCTAGTTTTCTAATTAGGTTGAATTCTAAATAAGTGATTACCCAAAAAAGGCTTATCAGGACAGTCCTCTGTTCCATGAACTAAAGCTCAGAAAACTTCCTAATTAATATCTTAAGGATTTTATGTCTCACAATTAACAAATTAGAGTGAAATACAAGACGTCCACAAACACTCTACATGTGTTACTCGTCTCTCTCACATCTTCAAGATGCTGATGTTTTCAAGGACTTCTTCCAATAGAAGAAGATTATAAATATTGGTTAGATGGTTGTGATGTAGTTAAGATTAGCTGCCATAACATATTAAGTTTTACATCTTTACGTAATATGAAATGTAGAAAGCCGATATTAACTTAAAATTTTCGCTGATATTCTAGGGTGCTGGTTCAAGTCCTTTGCAGTTACATTACTCTTCCCCTCTATGCTCTTGTAACCCAGGTTTGCACTCTATCTCTCTTTCACCCACACAAACACACACACAATGCAAGTACATAGACAAGCACAGACAACACATCACATTGTGAGGAAGGGAAATGTAATTAACTCAGAAAAAAAAAAAGTTTCCTCTATCAAGCTCTTCCACATTGTGCAGATAAACTCCTCCCCCCAACTTCTCACACGTCCTCTAACTTTTGACTCCTTCCTATTTTTTTATCATCCTCCTCCCCTCTCCTTTCTCTAACACTACTAGCCTAATTAATGGGGGAGCGGACATTGTAAGGATGTAAATCACATATATCCCGCAGGTCAGCCGTTAGCATTTATATGTAGTTGTGTCATGTGTGTGTGTGTGTGCGCGTGTTAAAATTAAGCTTGAACTTGAATTCACTAGCTGATTTCTGCATACAGATGGGTTCATATTTTAAGAGTGCAGTGCTAGAAGAGGAAACAGTGCATGTCATAAAGCAATGGCATGCCGAAGTGAGGGAGAAAAGGAAGAAACAACCATGTTCACATTCTCCTAGTCCTCGTGATCATTCATCACCAACATGGAGCAACTGCAGAACCACCTCCCCGGATCCATCTTCTCATCACCGGAGCCCCACCCTGGTGGAGTTTGCCTCTCGTGGTGGTGCTGAGATTACTGAAGACCATCAAGAACAAGTAGTTGTTCGGGATGAAACAGTTCCAGATGATGTTTCAACAACTGAGGTGCAGTTACAGATGCCAGACATGAGTAAAAAACAAAACTTAAAAGTAGGACGCATAAGATAGTTAGAATCAGTTACATATACATTAGTTTTTCTTAACCATTTTGTATTATCATTGACATGCCAAGGTGTAAATGTGCTCAACTCTTATCTTTCATAATCTTAATAAAATTTTGATTTCTTTTTATTCCACAAGTTCTTCATATTTTAACAAAAAAAAAATGTATTTTTCCTTCGAGTGACGGTACTTCATTTTACTTTTCCTAATTCTCTTTTCTTTTTGGGAATACATACAAAATAAATAAAGTTTCGTTAATCGTACAAGCTTCCGCTAATAGAGAATTAATAGTCAACGCATCAAATTTTTAAATTTATGTCTCGCAAAAGACATAATATGGTGTAACTGGTGGGTGGGCTTGCCCCACACCCCATGTTTTATTGAGGGTCGGCACATAACCCGTGGCCCAATGGGCAGAAAAATGGTCCAATGGACCACCGAGCTAATAGATAAGTCAACTCACGACGTGGCAGGCATGACTGACCTATTAGCCCAGTGGTAAAGCCATAGCCTTGTACTTTATACTCTGTTTGATAGTAAGAATGAAAAATAAGAGAAATACATTTTTTATCCTTCAAAAAATAAAATATGAATGATATATTTGTTTTTATTTGTATTTGGTAGGATAAATGAAAAATAAAAATGAATAAATTTTTTTTTACTTGGTTAGATGGAAAAAAATATTTTTTTATTTTTTATTTAAATTTTTTTTTAAAAAAATAATACATATTTTATCATTGTATTTATATATGAAATTAATGTATAAATAATATATGTATGTATCAAAAGATATATAGACAAATAAAATATATTTTAACACAAATAATTAACTTTTGAAAAATTTCAATCACACCTCCTTTAGTTTATTATATCTTCAAGGACACCCCCTCTAGTTTCTGAATCTTCAATGACACCCCCTGTCAGATTAAAAATATTAAGTAGAATATAATTTTACTAAATTGCCCATGATATATTTGAGTACAAACTTCATCCACACCCCCTCTAGATAAATATATCTTCAATGAGACCCCATCTAGATAAGTATATTTTCAATGAGACCCCTTCTGTTTTCTAATTTTTTTTACGTAATTAAATTCGAATTGATTAAAATTCGATTCAAACTAATTAAAATTTATTTTTTTACATATTAAATTTGTGCCAATTAAAAATTATATTTTTTTTTACGTATTAGAATTTGGGCTAATTAAAATTTTGTTTGAGCCAATTAAAAATTATTTTTAATTGACTCAAATTAAATTTTAATTAATTCGCATTAAATTTTAATTAGCCAAATTTTAATATATAAAAATATATGAATTTTAATTGACTTAAATTTTAATAAATATAATTTTAATTGACACGAATTTTAATAAGTAAAAAAATATAAATTTTAATCGACTCGAAAGAGAATTTTAATCGGCGCTAACAACTCGGGTAGAGTTCAAATCGGCTCAAATTTTAATATGTAACAAAAAAAAATTAATAGGCTCGATTTTTTTTTAAAAATTACTAATTAGTAAATAAAAAATTGTATTTACTAACAAATTATTTACTAAAATTGTTATTTATGACTTTTTTAAAAATTTTAACAGCTCGAATTTTAATAAAATTTTATGTAAAAAAATTACTTGAGGTTATGTAGGGGCATTTTTGGTATTTTAGATGAATTTTTTTTGTTAGAAATAGTAGTTTAATGGTAGGGGGTGCTAGTGATTTTTAAATAAAACTAGAATGGGTGTCATTGAAGATTCAGAAATTAAAGGAATGTCTTTGAAGATATGGTAAACTAGAGGGGGTGTCGTTGAAATTTTTCCTTAACTTTTCATCTACTTTCCTTCAAATTTTAGAATGATTGATTTTGCTAAGTTGGAAGAAAAAGCTAACTATCAACTTTTTCATCCTTCTTATTTTTCTTTTTTACCAAGTATAATATTTTATTTATCTCTCCAATTTTCCATCATTCCATTTATCTATCGTACCAAATAAAGGATTAAGGTTGGACGGCAAGATGGGTTATCCCGATTTAGAGCATGAAATGATCCAATAGCCCGATTATCTATTAAAACAACACTTCCGGATTTATATATTTCTTTCATCATGATATAAAAACTCTCCATCTGTTCCCCCTTTGGGGCTTGGGGGGGGGGGCTTTTAGTCCTTCGATTAAGCTGTTAATAGTACTTATAGTCAATGTCTTTATCTAGATGAGTGGAATGAAGGGATAAAAACCTGCTCTAGAGCGAATAGGGGTGAAATGGCTCTTTCAAGCGAAGTTACAAGCCACCCTCTAAGATTCGGTTGGCTCGTATAAGATTGATTAGCTTGACCCGTGTTGAGCTTGGTCCGAAAAATTGGGCCGGACTAGTCGTACCCTGTTTATTGTTTAACTATGTCGTAAATTTTTGTCGTAAATTTTCGCAAAATATATGTTGGACGTTGTATGACCGAGAAAAATTAAAAGGTAAATAACAAAAACAAACACTCGTGAAAAAATATAATGAATAGAATCTAAATCCAATATTAACCCATAAAAACACTCAAATAACTGAATTCCGAGCATTTATTGTGATTAATGTACGATCTTTGTCTCATTACGAGGGTTTAGACTAGACAAGTGGAAATATGACAACCTAATTGCAACAAAACAACATGTTAGAGAGCTAAAACCCTAGACTTGAGACAGTGACTGAACACTTCTTCATTGTGACATTAAACAGGAAAGGCCCTCTCTTTATTATGACAATTGACAGATGAAGCTCAATACAACCGAGAGCACCACCAGTATTGTGGACATTGAAATTGAATCAAAGTACATGCAGACAAAACATAGTTAAAGTAGGAGACCCACCTCTAAGCATAAATCAACAATGTGTTGTCCCATTAGTTTACTTCCGGTTGGAGATGAATTATTCCGCCAAATTTGATAAACATTTTTGATTTGGGATAATGAAGAATCTTAAATCACGTCTTTCTTTACACTCGTAAATGTCAGATGTGTGTAATCATTCATAACCATGCATGTGTAATAAACAGGGTTTTGCTATGAGAATTCAAAGTTGGGATATCGGGATGTAAATTTTTAAAATGATGTGTTAACATGACATGAGCCCGATAATGACATAATCAATTAATAAAAAAAAATTGGGTTAATGTTAAACATAGAAAAACCCATTCAAATTAGTTGAACTAATATTGTAGGTATGTATGAATCAAGTTGATCTTAGTTTATTGGAAACCTATATATGCCGAATTAAATTGAGAGAAAAGGTGGTTTTAAAGATTGGACGAAAATAACATCAACGAAGATGCTACGAAATGACATGATATAAAAATGGCACAAATCTAAAATAATACGATCTTAATTTAACCCAATATAACTCGATTAAGACTGAAAACCCGAAAACTTATTCATGGTTGATGGGCCTTGTACCAGTAAGGTATGGAAAATGACTTTTTGATAACTCTGAAAGGAATTGTGACAGAGATATTGGGGGGCTCCAATCAACTTGAGGCTGAAGTTTCAACAACCCAATAGAAAAATTGCTAAAGATCATAGTTTCCCATTTGTCTGGACCCTTGTACATCCATTCTATGACTTGTTTGGGGGAAAGCATATGAACCACACAAAGGCATAATATAAAAATGACACAAATTTAGGACAACACGATCTGAATTTGACCCAATACAATTTGATTGGGACTGAAAACTTAGAAACTTATCCGGTGTTTAATGGACATTGTACCAATGCGGTATGGAAAATGACTTTTTGATAACTCCTAAAGGAATGGGCACAGAGATATTGGGGGGCTGCAATCAACATGAGACTGAAGTTCCAACAACCCAATACGAAAATTGCTAAAGATCATAGTTTCCCATATGTCTGGACCTTGTAAATCCATTATATGACTTGTTTGGGGAAAGGCATATGAAACTCATTATGTTCTTGTGGCCCTAAGCTGCCACATTAGGGAGCAAAACAATTTCTCTCACCCAAGCATGAAGGATATAGGTGTAACGACAAATTTTGTATGTAATATTAACACCAAAGTAATGTTAAATTATAATTGTTTGACAATTTAATTTTTGAATAAAAAGTAGTGTTGACTCTCTTTGACGTAAGTTACACTACTTTCTGATTCTCGGTGGATCAGGTAAAGATGAGAGTTGAATCGGTGTGTTTCTCGATCTTTGATTTGGTGATGTATTTAATGAATTTGATGAAAACGAGGGTTGGATCAACACGATTCTCGTTCTTTGATTTGGTGATGCTTTTGATAGATTTGGAGAAGGTGAGGTCTTGGTCAACGTGATCCTTGGTCTTCAATCTTTAACTTGGTGGATTTGTTGAAAACGAAAGTCAAATTGACATGATTTTCGTTCTTTAATCTTTGATTTTGTAAATTTGTTAAAAACGAGAGTCCAATTGACGTGATTCTCGTTTTTCAATTTGATAATGGTTTTGTTAAATCTTCTCACCGTTTTTTGTGTTGAATTGTTTGAAGATGATTTGAATCTCTTAAAGAAAGACATTGACAGTGTTTCTTCTCCTTAGAGATGAATTTGCAAGATAAAGATTGGGGGTAGGCGGCAGAACTTCGTTACTGAATTTCTTTTCTCCTCCTGAAAATATCTAAAGTAGAGCTTCTTAATCTAATTTAGAAACTTATTAGATTTGAGCCCACAAGTTAACATTATTTTATTTGTTAATTTTCATTGCATTAAATTCTCATAATATTTTTCATTCGTGCAATCTTTTAAGTCTGGCGAGTTTGGTTGAGCCCCATAGAAAATTGAAGCTATGGAGATCCAGATCCCATTCACTGTATATTTGTTAGAATTTTTTTTAGATACTATAAAAGTGATAAAAATACATACAATAATTATAAAAATATCCATAAATATAATAAATATAGATATGATACTAATTTTTTTTTTTTCAAACACAACACTTTGACAATAAAGTATAGTTAGAAACTTATTAGATTTGAGCCCACTAATAAACATTATTTTATTTGTTAATTTTTTAATGTCTATAATAGGTTTCTTACAAGTCTATAATAATCCAA